AAAAGTACCTAATTACAAGACTTTTTCACAAAAAAAAATGTTTATTTTGACAGTTAATGCCTTGAGCAGTGAGCACACAAACCAACTTAACTTTGGTCAGTCAAATATGAGCCACGAGGAGAAATTAGTGAAAGAGCGTTAAATAAACTATGAAAACATTTTTTGCAGGGTTTAGTGCTTACTGTTTAGTGAACAACCTTTTTCCCAGATTCTCGATGAACTTCAAAAACAAGGAAACTTTACATTTAATGACCTTTGGGCTCTGTTAGCCTTACTCTTGATCTGACCTAAAAGGACTGAAATATCTACCTACCTCATATCTTTTATCTTTGTTCAGGCGATGCATATCCCTTTTTACATAGGATAGGGGCCGATTTTAAGGGGGGGACCTAAACACCCCCATCCCCTCCTGCTTTGATGTGCTGGTATCAGATTCGCCGCCCTAGGGCGGGTAAATGCGACATCTGGCATCAGTTTAACAAGTTTGATGTTTGATACAATAACATGTTTGGCTTTATTCATATGAGTCACTTATCAAACGGAGTGGGGAATCGCGGGGATTTACATGACTCAACGATCGCTGGCTATTAGATAAGCTTTACTAAAGCTAGCTGACTTCGGGTCGGAATCCTCAGCGTTCGGTCAAACGCTGTGAAGTCTTTGTTTGAACTTGAGCCTTGGACTCTGCCCCCTGTCCTTGCAGCCAGAGCTGATATGAAAACATATTTTGGCTTGATGGTTGATTATGGGACTGAGTCAGCCGTGAGTGATTGCTGAGGATTGTAGTTATCGAGCTACAGGCGTAGTGACGCCAATTGATTCGGTGGAAACGCGATAGCTCGAATAATACTTATGTGTTACAAATGGCAAGAGTTTCAACTTATTGAACCATGGGTACAATGCACTCTCCTCCCTTTGTTCTCCTCCGCTCCCCTGCCACTCCTTATCCAGCCAAATTTCTGCACCACCAGCTGACTAAGCGCGTTTTCCGTCCACAGACCAGCGCGCCACCATGCTGGACATTACTGTGAAGACGCTGGACTCGCGTAACCACCAGTTCTCGGTGGCCGACGACACGACTGTGAAGGCTTTCAAGGAGCACATCGCCGCCGAGGTGGGCATCGCGGCCGGCCAGCAGCGGCTCATCTACTGCGGCCGCGTGCTGCAGGACGAGCGGCCGCTCAGCTCCTACGAGGTGCACGAGAAGGTGGTGCATCTGGTGCAGCGGCCGCCGCCCGGCCGCCACCCGCCGCCGAGCTCGGCGCCGCCCCCGCAGCGCGGCCACCACCACCACGTGCACCACCACCATCACCATCACCACGCGCACCCGCCGCCCGTCAGCCAGCTGCTGGTGGGATCGTTCTCGCTGCCGGACCGGCCGACCGGCACACCGGCGCTGGGCACCTCGTCCAGCGGAGCGCGCCTCTTCCAGGCGCGGCAGATGGTGCATCTAGCTAACATTGTTCTAGATGCGTATGAGAATAATGAGGAGATCCCGCGTCCGGCCGTCGCGCCTGTGCCGCCTCCGCCGCCACCGCCGCGGCATACGCCACCTCAACAACAACAACAGCGGCAGCAGCAGCAGCGGCAACAGCAGGCGGCTCCAGGGCAGGGTGGACAGCAGGGTCAACAGGGAACCGGTCCGCGTCAACAGGCCGGAACCGGCCCGCGCCCGCCGCACATCGCTCAGCTGTTCCCGATGATTAACGTTCAGGTGGGTGCGGCGGGCGGCGCTGATCTGCAGCAGGCCACCACGGCGGCCCTCTCCGCCGCGCTGAGCGCCGCCTCCAACGCGCTGCCGATGGTCGGACTGATCCCGGGCGCCATGGGACCGGCCGGCGGCCGACTCCAGTTCCACATCCACCGGCCAGGCGCGCCGCCGCCTCCGGGGCAGCCCGCCGGCGCCAGACCGGCCGCCCCGAGCGCCTCAGGACCGGCCGCGCCGGCCCCCGCGACCACCGCCGCGCCGGGCTCAGCCCCGACCGCCTCTCCGGCCTCCGGGACGACATCTGCACCGGCCGGGTCGTCAGCCGCGCAGCCGACAACGGCGACAGCGAGTACGGCCGGCGCCGCCGGGACTGCGGCGGGCCCCGGCGCGGCGGGAGCGACGGGCGGTGCTGGAGCAGGCACCGGGGCAGCGTTCGTGGCCCACCCGAGCGCAGCTGTGTACGCCCACCTGCTGGAGATGATAGCCGACCTGCAGACGCGGCTGCGGCCGTACCTGGTGCGCTACCGACGGCTGCTGAGCGACGACCGACCGTGCGCGGACGCGGCGGCCGTGCGCGACGCGCGTCGCCTCTTCCAGCACACCTCCGAGGCGATGCACTACCTGTCGCACGCGCTGCACCTCAGCAGCGACATGATGGTCGATTTTGAGCAGGTGCCGCCGCGTCACATGCGTGCCAGGCCGATTATCTTCACTGAGACGCACCCGATGCCGCTGCAGCCGATGCAGGCTCACATCAACATAACAACCAACATCCATCGGGAGGGAGCGGGCGGTCCGGCGCCGCCAGCTGCCGGTCAGGAGCCGCCTCTGGCCACCAGTACGCCCGCGGAACCGACCCCACCCACTGTCTCTACAACAGCGACGGCCTCTTCAACGTCCACTTCGTCCTCGTCGTCCGGCACGTCTGTCGGCGGATCGGCGACTCCTGCGGCTCCGACGTCGGCACCGTCCCAGGCGGGCACCGGCGGCGGGCTGGCCGACGACCCTGCTCTGGATGATGCACCGATGGACACGGAAGACGTGAATGAGGTCCGAATCGAACTGGAGACGGTAACTACCTCTTCAGGGCCTGCGACCGGCGCGGGCGGCGCGCCGGCCCCCGGTCAGGATCAGTTCCTCAATAATATCGTGGACGCGATCCAGAACAGCATGATTGGCGCTCACTTGGAGGCTCACGCGCCAGGTATTCACCGTAATGTACATGAGGCGGCGATGGCGGCGCACCAGGCAGCCGTGAATGCCGCGATGATGATGCATCCGCCGGCCGCTGGCGAGACGCCGCCTCAGACCACTCAGCAGTCGGGAACGACAGCTGCGACTCCGAGCACCACTGCCGCATCGAGCGCCGAGTCGACGCCTCCGCCGCCGTCCGCCGACTCTGGCGGTACCACGAGCACGACTCGTACTCGACCGACGGCCCAGCCGCAGCCGCCGCTGGGCCAGGCGCCCGTGGTGAGACACCTGGGGGCCAACCCGTTCGACCCGTTCCTGCCCTGTCACTCGTGGCACCTGGCCACTCACGACGCGCGTCGCCAGCGACTGGTGGCACGGGAGGCTGCCGAGGAGCGCGCCGCGGCTGCCGCCCCCGCTCAGCCATCAGCTGCCTCTGAGTCGACCCCTCAGCCGGCGGCGGCGGCGGGATCCGGGGCGGCAGCCGCCGCTCCACCGGCCGCCATGGAGGTAGACCTGAGCCCGAGCGCCGAGCCGGTGCGCTCTGTGGCCCCACTGCCGGCCGTGCGGCCCGGTACAGAGTCGTGGCACTACACCGTGCCGGCCGACTGGCTGGCCGCGCTCAGCCGCGACGCCGAGCTGCAGCGCCGCCACCCGCCGCGCGCGCGTCCCTTCAGCGACGGCTACCTGGCCGTGCAGCCGTCCGGACGGCGCGGAGCCCAGCTGGCCCAGAAGCCGCGCGGCTCGCCGGCGCAGCTGGCCGAGCGGTGTGCCGCTGAGGCGCTGGAGGCTTGCCGACTGCCCACGGCGTCCGGTGGCGGCCAGGCGCTGCTGGCCGCTGTCGCCGAGGACCCGCAGGTGGCGGACGCGGCGCGGCGCGTGGCCGTGGCGACACTGGCCGAGACGGTCAACGAGAGCCCGGCGTACCGACAACAGCCGGCCCGCTACCCGGACGTCGGGAAACTAACCAAGGAAGAGTGACGGGTGCGGCGGCCGGCGCCGGCGGCAGCGGGCGGCGAGAGGCGTTCGGCGCCGGCCGGGGACCGCTGGCACCGGGGACGGGCGGGCGGGGCGGACAGTGAGGGTGTGACGTGCGGACGGCGCCGGCAGGGACCGACTCGGGGTGCAGAAAACGCGGCGCTGAGTGATGATGATGTGATGAGATTTAAGTTTCTGGTCCCGTCAGCGCAGAGGAGATGGTTTGTTGGAAATGTGCTCGACTGGCGGACTACGTGGGCTGTTCATCATGGCGAACTGAAGTATTGAGGAGGCCAGTTGCTTTCAACCGTTATTGAGGTGAGTTTTTACTCCTAGATGTGGCGATTGGCATCACTTCTTGTTTAGTGACGAGATTGTGATTCTGTGCTATCCAGGCTTTGTCGATACCTAACCATAGATTTGTATTCAGTATTGAGGCTTTTATCGGCAGCGATTATGATGAATTCGTTCCGTTTTCAGTCTCACGAATAAGTCTAACTTCTAACTTTAAATCTAACCTATCCCCTTTTCTCTGCATCACGCAGGTGCCATTCTTCAAAATTAGGCTGTCTTTGGATACTAACGCGAAGCAGGCTGTTCGGACTTCGGAGTAGACTTCTAACGGGGACGAGAGCCGCTGCGGCGACATATCAGTTACACGGTAAGTCAGGAAGTGACGGGGGCTCCGCCAGCCGGCGGATTACATCAGACACGGATAACATGAATCATTAATGATATCTATACGTCAGCGTGTATAGGGACAATGCACGTCAATATGCATTTATTTGATGGTCCTTTTTAGTACCATTCGTTTCTGGGTAACATTTCACTTGAGCTGTGTCATAACTGGTATTGACCCCGCTCAATCTCTGACGCCAGGTATCTGGTGTCTGGGACACGCCGTCTGCGACAGCCGGTGAACTGAATCGAACAATTAACCGGGGCACTGGCAGATGGACCGAGTCCGGCCTGCCACCTGTCTCCGCGCGGCGTATACGGTCAGACCTGGCTCAGTCAGACACTGACCCTGCCGTCCGCGCTCTGCAGCTGGTCAGCTCAGTATCCTCCAGCCGCGGCATTGTCTCCCGTCTCTTCTCTCGTCTCCGACCTGTCTCCAGCCGTCTTTTTACCACGACCTCCGATCATCTTTTCACGAGCCTGCGACGCGAGGGTGAGTGCTAGTGCAAGGATTAAATACAGATATGTGGCTGGGATATGCTCGATGGATATGCGAATTATGGGCGAGTGTAACTAAGAAGGTCGGGTGTAGCTTGTTGAACTGATTGATTGGGCAGTGATACACCTGTTTTTCACTGCGGTGAAGTGACTGAATCTGGATGAGAGACTAGCGTTCGGAAATGACCCACGCGCGTCAGTAACTGTCACGCTACCACGTCCATCATGCCCCGTTATCAGCGTGTGAATGATGTGCTGCGCCTGCAACACCGTGTGACTGCCGACGGCAAGCTCAGCAGCTGTGCGGCGTTACGTCCCGACGAGGGGCGGCCTGTGTGGGGTCGTGCCGGGCGGGTGTGGCCTGTGATGGGTGGAGGGATTAAACGCCGACCGGCCGCAGCGTGACGTGGTCGAGAGATGCAGTTCACTAACGCCATTACGCGCGTCACTGCAGGCGTGACGCTGCGTGGGGGACACGCGAGCTCGATTCTTACGGGCACAGAGCGTGTCGGTTTTATGCATTAATCCGAGATGATACATTGGCATATTTAATTGACTTCAGTTTGATGAGCAAATATATAGTTCACAAAAAACGGTTGCATGTTGTGCTCCTGTATTATGGTACGGAGCGGGACCCTGGCAGGAGGAATGAAGGACCGGCTCGATGACGCCCGCCCGCAGCAGACACCAGCGTGGGCCGCGGACACATCATCATGGCGTCACAGTTCGTGAACACGTCATCATGACGTCACGATCCGCGGACAACTAACCACAGCATCACCGCTGAAACGGGCGGGCAGCCACGACGCCCCAATCGACACCAACACACAATCAATGGGTCCTGAATGATGAGACGCGGCCATTCACAGCGACCGACACAGACACGAGCACAGCGCTACACAAAACACGTCCCAAAAACGGGCCACAGCTCAAAACAAAACAATATATAGATGCTTTCTCGGCGCACAGATCAGGTCACCTCAGATTCAGGTCACAGTCTGCAGAGGCCGGCGGCGGGTCAGCCGGCGCGGCGCGGCGCACCGGCCGCCGCGGCGGCTCCGGTCCTCAGTCGGCCGGCGGCCAGCCCCGGTACGGGCCCTCCGAGCCGCCGCCGCCGCCTCACTGGTGGTACTGGTACGGGTTGCTCGGCTGCATCTGCTGTTGTTGCTGCTGCTGCTGCTGCTGTTGTTGCTGTTGTTGTTGCTGTTGCTGGGCGAGGCTGGGCTGTCGCAGCTGGTTCATGAGCGTGCCCGGCTGCTGCTGCATCATCATCGGGTGTCGCAGCCGCTGGGGCAGACCGGCGGCGCCCGGCGGCCCGGGCGCCATGGCTCGGTACTGGCCGCCGGCCTGCATCGCGTTCACAGTCACGTTCGGCGCCTGCTGGGGACGGAGTGGCTCGGTCAGAAAGGCATGGTCCTAGACAAGCAAAGGCTTTCAGCGCCGACAAGCGCAGGGATACCACGGTAAACACAGTCACCCAAAGAACCAAGGCCTTACGCTCATCAACAGTCGCATTATGATCAGATTCTGTAAACGGTACGGTTTGCCACAGACGTCGGTCATGGCGTCCACCAGCGCGTCACGCTCCGCGGCTCACCTGCATATAGTTTGAGCTGGGCCTCATCTGGCCCATGTAGCCGGTCGGGCCTGGCTGCTGCTGGGACCGCATGGGCATCATGCCGGGCTGCTGCTGCGGCTGCATCATCTGCTGCTGCGGCGCCGGCTGGCCCTGCTGGCCGCCAAAGGCCATCGCTGAAACGCAGGGAGATACGGCAGAGTTAGTCTTCAAGCGTAAGAGCCTTCAAGAGTTACCTTCCAGAAAGGTTAAAATTAATCTCATGTCTCAGATGACCTCCCTCCCCCCACCCAAGCCCGTACACCGTGATTGATGGCGATATTTTACAATCGCTATACGACACCACTCACCATTTGGGCCGTTCCCCTGAGACATGAGCTGGTTACCACTCACCGTTTGGGTTTCCCTGACTCCTGAGACATGAGCTGGTAACCTCTCACCGTTTGGGATTCCCTGAGACATGAGCTGGTTACCAGGCCCACTCTCCGGTTTCCGTGAGACATGAGCTGGTTACCACTCACCCTTTGGGTTTCCCTGAGTCATGAGCTGGTTACCACTCACCGTTTGGGTTTCGCTGAGACATGAGCTGGTCACCACTCCCCGGTTTCCCTGAGTCATGAGCTGGTTACCACTCACCGTTTGGGTTTCCCTGAGTCATGAGCTGGTTACCACTCACCGTTTGGGTTTCCCTGAGTCATGAGCTGGTTACCACTCACCGTTTGGGTTTCCCTGAGTCATGAGCTGGCTCGGCTGGCCCTGTTGCTGCGCCATGTAGGCAGGGTTGTAGCCGGGGTTCATCCCTGGTGGATCACCACACGCAAATTGTCAGACAAAGGTAAAGCCACAAGTTCATATTTACTAATAGTTGTCATGAATCACGGTTGAAACATGTGTTGATCAGATCATTTGCCGATCGAGTCAAATAACAAAACCTTCAAGTACCGTCAAATTAAGCCTTTAGCTGAGCCATATACACGGGGAGCTTCACAACCTAGTTCTGACACTAACAAACACCCAGCGACCCCACGGGTGAACCCCAGTAGGCTCCCCGTGTGTCCCGGCAGGCGGCCACTGACCTTGGTACATGGTCTGCGGCATGGTGGGCCCCGGTCCGGACGGCGGGCCCGGCATCTGACGCGGCGCGTACACGGGCCCTCCCGGGTGCTGGACGCGAATCTGGTCCCTGCTGAGGACAGCACACAGTATCATCAGTTGGGACAGCGCTGCGGGGAAGAAAGGGGGGAGCAGAGATTGCCGAGCAGAGTGACTAGAACCCATCGATACGGGGCTAGCTTCGTAGGGACAACAAAACCCAAAGGTCAATCAGGTCAAAGAAACCGTGAGATGGTTGAAGATCCCACCACGGTACTCAGACACAACTTTCGCCAAGACATGCTTGACAGTAGAGTCAGAGACAGATTAATTCCGGCCGTAATAAGTAGCTCCCTCCCTCCCTCGTCCCCGGGTCTAGCCGCACCTCATCATCTGCTGCTGCCGGAGCAGCTGCTGCTTGTCCTGCATGCTCGGGTGCATGCTGGGGTAGCCCGGCTGCGGCTGCGGCTGCATGAAGCCGCCCGGCTGTCGGTTGCGCAGCATTGTCGTCAGCGCCATCTTGCTGGCCGACGAGGGGAACCGCTGGCCGCCCGCTGACGAGAGGTTAGGTCAGGTCAGGTCAGGTCATCACGGGACCGGAGAGCCAAGATCAACACTCCGTAGTCTAGCCGTGACCAACCAGGGACGGGTTTTCAGTGGTGCGCCATCAGGACTCACGGCAGAAAGAATACGAGATGCAATTTACACGACTGTTTGCTGTGGAAGCGGCTCAAAAACTTAATTTAGTCCTATGGGCGACAATTTCTCAGGATACACATGATTCATCACAGCTCTGCAGTGATGGCTGTCGCCCGGAGCTCACCTGCGCCGATGGCCTGCTGCTGGTGGTAGTAGGGCGCCGGCGGTCCCTGCGGCCCCTGCTGAGGCGGGAACCACTGCTGCTCGGCCGCGTACATGCCGCCGCCAGGACCGTACTGAGCCATGCCAGGCATCGGCGGCTGGCGACACAGGCCGAAGACAACATATCGATCAACTGTGGGGTCAATGGCACGGGATGGGGAGCTACTACACGAGCCTAGACAGGACACAATGCTGACTGAACGTCCCCGGCGGTGCGACTCACGCCAAATAGCGGCACGCAGCGGCGAACAAGCTCATCGTCTCAGAAAGCTAGCTCAATGTCAAGCCACAATCCTCAGCCCAGCGGCGGCCAAGATGACGGCGCTCACCGTGTTCATGCGCGGCGCCATGATGCCTGAGTTGCTGAGCTGCCGGTTGGCGCGCTCGCGCTTTTTGCGCGTTCCGCTGCCGCGCGCTCTTTTGGCACCGCCCCGCGGCGAGTCGCAGCTGGGCACCTCTGCCACTTTGGTCTCCTCTTTCTGCGGGTCAGACGCGGGGGTTGGACGGCGCGACTACACACATACATGACGTCATACATGACGTCATGTGAGGTCACGGGCAGCAGGCGAGACGGTGAGGCATGCAACGCGTTTGTGGACGACACAAAAACGAGTCAATTTATAAAGAGATGAGTCATGGAACGCCCAAGAGATATTGACTTCGTCGAAACTTGCCCATGTTAGTTGAAATGCCATTGAGAAATGTTGAGAAACGTGCCTGGGAAATGTTGAAAAGAAAAACTCCAGTCGAGAAATGTGTAGGTGCTTTGACCACAATAAACATGGGATAGAGTAGAGCAACAGCGGAAAACTTTCAGGAACAATTGCCACGAGAAATTGTTATAGACATTGAAAGGCACGAAAAAGTTTCAAACTCGCGATTACTGCGGCCTGAATATTTTTTTTTTCTTAATAAGTAGAAAGTCTTGTCAGCCCCGTGCTGAAAAATAAACTATAATAAAGAATGAATGCAATGCAGCGTCCCTGTGGACATCGTATTTAGCATCGTATCCAGTGAGCATAAAACATAGTCGCCATCTCAAGCAGAAGGGCAAGCGAAGCAAAGCCATGAAGCGAAGCTGGACCTCTAAATCACAAATGACTTATTTGTGTCACAGCACTGTAAAAAGTGACCATTAGGGACACACACATTTAGACTACACCAAATACCTGCGGCTTGGGAGGAAAGACCTGATGGAAAAAGTCACATTTGAAGTTTGAACGGTTTCAATACCGTTATGTCTTTCTAAACCCAAACGAACTATGCCTTCGACTGAACTAGAGACACTAACCAACAATAATATTGCTAGTCCGTGTCTTTAACAAGATATTATTTATGCACTACAGACGTGAGCTATTTAAGCAAAAGAGACATTAGCTTCATTACATACGCTACACTAGGGTTACTGCGATGTGCGTATTAAATATCAGCTGACTGCGGATAGTTAACGAAGCTATTATAGCTAGTTAAACTAGCTGTCTGGCATACAATTGGTACAGATGACACACCTCGCTAGTCGCTAACAATGCCGGGGCAAGCTGTCATATTAAGGCCTGCCCGGGCTTCCACTCTAATAGAAAGTAGAAACTGAAAAAAGAGCTACTGTTTTGTGACCCGACACTACGCTACGTGTGTTTGCATCGTTGACACTAGACGTTAATAATTACTGCTAGACCTGGATAAGTCTATGGCACTGAACATCACTGCCTCCAAAACTAGCCTCATTCCATCGTCCTACCCCATGGCTTCCTTTCCCTACCTCCAATACCGGCACCCCCGTGCCCTGTGTCCGTCCCGGCGTACCTGTTTCTCTGGAATGGGTTCCAGCTCCTCGGGCGGCAGGGGCGGCCGTTCCAGGTAGTACGTGTCAGACTTGATCATCGCCTGGTGCTGGTGGAACCTGGCCAAGAGCAGATAGGAGGTAAATAGAGTCCCGGTGCCATACAGTTCGGACCAAGATATGACTGATGCCTCGAATGAGAATGAACATAAAACAGTAAAACGAATACACACATACGCGGCTAAATTACTGACCTCATCATTTTGAAGACCTCCTCGTACTTGCTGATGGTGCGCTCGAGTCGGATGGCGCCGAACCAGGACCAGCTGAGGGGCGCCGGGTTGCGGTGTCCCTCGAGCAGGTCCCACGGAGACACCTTCTGTTTGTCCACCAGGATCAGACCCTGCGCGCGGCACGACACCACCGGTCAGGGCGGCGAACTCAGTCGTCAGACGGAGCCGGCGGGTCACAGCGCTGACAAGACGGCGGCAGAGATTCCAACATACCATGGCTGTTCATTGGGAGCCTTCCTCGGGTTACTCTCCCGTCTTCTGTCTCCGACCCTCTAATCACTCCCCAGTCCAGCCCACGCCAACTCTAGTTGTATGCCACAACTGAGTATTGATCCCCCGTGTCACGTCCCCTTCAGTCATTCCGGCTCGCTCAGCGTCTCACCCGTCTTTTCTCGAAGCTCTCGAAGCCCGGCGGCGGCGCCGACTTGAGCTCACAGTTGACGACCTCCACGGTCTTCTTTGGGATGGGCAGGAACTGTCGCAGGTACTGGATGGACACGCCGCGACGGTCTCCCAGCTCCTGAGAACACACGGGTCAGGGACGGTCAAATGTGGATATTGGACACAGTAAAAGATTGATCACATGTTGATGTGATAACTGATATCAAGTGCCGACAGGACGCACCTTTCGCAGTTTTTTGGCGAGCGTCTGGTAGTGTCGCTTGTTCTCCTCCGGTTTCTCGGCCTGCGCGTCCCCAACGACGGCAGAGTGGATCAGCGTGGCCACCATGTCCAACACGGTGGTGTACAGGTCACTGTGGGACATAATATAGTGACGTCAGTCATCATGTCCAATACGGTGGTGTACAAGTCACTGTGAGACATAATATAGTGACGTCAGAGCCACCATGTCCAACACGGTGGTGTACAAGTCACTGTGGGACATAATATAGTGACGTCATACCTACCATGTCCAACACGGTGGTGTACAAGTCACTGTGAGACATAATATAGTGACGTCAGAGCCACTATGTCCAACATGGTGGTGTACAAGTCACTGTGGGACATAATATAGTGACGTCATACCTACCATGTCCAACATGGTGGTGTACAAGTCACTGTGGGACATAATATAGTGACGTCAGAGCCATCATGTCCAACACGGTGGTGTACAAGTCACTGTGGGACATAATATAGTGACGTCAGTCATCATGTCCAACACGGTGGTGTACAAGTCACTGTGGGACATAATATAGTGACGTCAGTCATCATGTCCAATACGGTGGTGTACAAGTCACTGTGAGACATAATATAGTGACGTCAGAGCCACCATGTCCAACACGGTGGTGTACAAGTCACTGTGGGACATAATATAGTGACGTCATACCTACCATGTCCAACACGGTGGTGTACAAGTCACTGTGGGACATAATATAGTGACGTCAGAGCCATCATGTCCAACACGGTGGTGTACAAGTCACTGTGGGGCATAATATAGTGACGTCAGTCATCATGTCCAATACGGTGGTGTACAAGTCACTGTGAGACATAATATAGTGACGTCAGAGCCACCATGTCCAACACGGTGGTGTACAAGTCACTGTGGGACATAATATAGTGACGTCATACCTACCATGTCCAACACGGTGGTGTACAAGTCACTGTGGGACATAATATAGTGACGTCAGTCATCATGTCCAATACGGTGGTGTACAAGTCACTGTAAGACATAATATAGTGACGTCAGAGCCATCATGTCCAACACGGTGGTGTACAGTATGTCTAAAAAGTATGTCCCCTGGTTTGGCTCTCCCACAGGAGGCGAATCGGTAACTTGGCTGAATCCCAGTTGCGGCACCCGGCCGCCAGGGTCGCTGCCGCGCGAGCGGCCTTGACCGCTCGCATGTCATTGGCAGTTCGGTCCCTCCCCATCTATACAGAGGTGGGGAGGGGAGAAGAGGGGAAGAGAGGGGAGGGAGCGGCATCCGCTCGGCACTGGGCGATACCTGGCTGACCCCGCGCTCCCTCGCTGACCTCCGTCCTGCCCTCAGGCGAAGACCGACTTCCTCGGCCCGTAGCGGCCGAGCGGAAAACCGAGCTCGCAGGGCGCGACTCCATTGGCCCAATCTTATAAATGGAATGCTGTCGTATTCACGGCATTAGATAATATTAATAGTGATACCAGCAGTGGATGTCGTAAAATACAGTCCAAAACAAACGAAAGCACACGATTGACGCATAATGCGCCCTCCCATTCAAATAAGCCCGCCCACTTCAATAGATGGTGTAGTTTCTTAGGGCGTAAAAGATGCAAAACACTACCAAACTTTTTTTAGCTCGGCCACTGGGACCGTCAATATACAATTGACTGAAATGCATGAAAACCATTTTGCATTTAATAGCCGTTTCCAGCACCCAAACTTTAGCCAGTGACGCCCTGTCCATTCTAAAGCGTTTATAAGATTGGTCCCAGCACCCGATTTGATATGAGGAAGTCGTTTAAAAAGCATCTTATCTCTTACCAATTTATTTATTATGGCCACTTTTACAGGACGTCTATAGAGCTTTGACTTTTACATTTCTTCCTCGTTCAGGAGCAACGTTTTAACCCTCACCGGACTGGTTTTCTGAATACCGAGGGGGCGTTGGGGGGTTGGAAGTGAGGGAACAACCCCCTTTGCCGATTCGCCCCTTAATGAGCTAGAGCCTCACGAAAGAAACGATCGTGCGCGTCGTTACGAAATGCAGCGATTGGTCTCCGATTTTAAGGACTAGGATCAGCCGATGACTTCTGAGGTTAGGTCAAGTGGCCCAAGGCACAGGTTCGGTGTTTGGTAAATAACTTCGCTAAACATGATCGCAGATCCGCGATTTTAGCAGCATCGTGTTTGTCTAGCTCAGGCGTGTCGAATGGTATACTTTTTCTTCGGGTGAGATCAAGTTAAGGTGTTAACCTCGGGTCAAGGTCAGGTCATAGCCCGTCAGGTCACGAAGCTGGTCAAATCATAGAGATCTTATATACAATTTAATTTCGGATAGTTTAATTCAAGTCGGTATGAATCCGACTTGACAATTTACTAGGTGGGTTTTGCAGCGCTATTACTTCGGCATGTAATTATAAATCATTGCTAATTTCGATCCGGATGTCGTTATTCAATGCTGGCTTTTGCGCCCTCAGAAAAGTTTATAGTCATGAAGGCTTGCATTGACCCATACTTTCCATTTTTCAGCGACATTATTCGCCGTAGTTGACCAGGTATTTTTCTTCAGCTCTCCCCCGAATCATTTGGCTTAGACCCATGGCGTATCACCCGTGCATCGCAAGACGCACCTACCACACACAAGTTCACGATCCCCACGAACCCACATCAGCGTCCGTTCGCTTGGTGTGTGACCCCTTGACCTTTGGCCGCGACAACTGCCAGCTTGCCGGAGTACCCCTCCCTGCACGCGCTGCCCCGCCCGCTCCCCTCCCTCTCTCCCTCCCCCGCCCCCCCCCCCCGGGGTCGGTTGGTTGGTTGGTTTGGGTTAAGCACCACATCCAGTGGACCAAGGTGCTAACCGGAACTCTCACGCTGTTCCAAGCGGTCAGGTAGCGGCAATGCCACGTGCATCGCCCGGGAATCGAACCCGGATGGCCGAATCTAGAGGCAAGTATCTTACCCCTAGACCGGAATGCTCCCCTCCCCCCGGGGTCGTGTCACGAAGGTTCGGGCTTACGCTACTACCGGCCGCTGCGCAGCTGTCACCTAGCGCTTGGGAATGTGTGGTCTGGTGCGGATTCAGCCAACTACCGGCTCGCGACACCAGCGCCACGTAGTGGCGACGGTACATTCTTTTTAGACATACTGTACAAGTCACTGTGGGACATAATATAGTGACGTCATACCCACCATGTCCAGCACGGTGGTGTACAAGTCACTGTGGGACATAATATAGTGACGTCATACCTACCATGTCCAACACGGTGGTGTACAAGTCACTGTGGGACATAATATAGTGACGTCATAGCCATCATGTCCAACACGGTAGTGCACAAGTCACTGTGGGACATAATATAGTGACGTCAGAGTTATCATGTCCAACACGGTGGTACGCGTAATGTTCAGTTGAAAGAGCGACATTACAAATAACCCAACCTAATCTCAATCTCGACCAGGCCAGCAGTCTTCCACACTTCCGTCCATCCCAAATCCGCCCACCGCTCCCATCTCGCCCCCCTCCCCGGGTCGGCCACCGACCTGTTGTTGTACAGCGTGACCACGCCGTTGGTGACCAGCTGAGCGAGCAGCAGCACCCAGGTGTCGGTCATGCTCAGGTTACCCCGCTGGATGGCGTCGAACACACCGCCCAGCAGACTGAACCGCAGGTGCAGCGCGCTGTGCACGTGCGCACCCGTCTTGTTCTCGTCCGGAAACACAGTCTCCTTCTGCGGCGGGAGGAGACAGGAAATGAATGGGGGGGGGGGTGATCGTGGGACCATGGTGGTGATCGTGGGACCATACCGCAGGCGGGACAGTGACTTCACCGTAAAAAAGTTAATGTCAATAGCTGCTGCTATTGCAAACCAGGTTAAATCCGCAAGTAAGAATATTACAGAGCCAAGTGTTAGGTGTTTTAGTTCACCTTATTATTGTCGGCTGTTTTCCTCTTCTCATCCTTATCTTTCGGCTCCTGAAACGAGGAGACAGCAATGATACAACCAAACATGATAACTGAAAGTGACAAACAATCTCGCCAAATCAGCTTCGAAGAAGAGAAACACGAAATGTGATATAGGAACGCTCCAGCTTTTAAAATCCTAAAATGGCTACTGCTCAGCGGAACCACACAAAGTAGCGTTCATTTACTTCTCGCTCCAACCAGCCTTCTTTTATCAGTTCACCGCGTCACTCACGTCCTTTCCGTCCCTGCTGATGAACTGCTGGAACTGGACCTGCAGCGACGACACCAGGTCGTCTCGCTGCTCCTCCTGGCCGCGCACACAGCTCAGCACCAGCTGCTTGAACGGCTGGTGGGCCGACGGGCCCGGAGGCGGCGTCGGCGGACCGGCCGACCCGGCGCCCGAGCCGCCGCCGGCCTGCGAGGAGCTCTTCTTGACCCAGCCGGCCGACTCGAGCACCTGGGTGGCCGCCTGGAGGATGCAGGCCTGCGCGTCGGCCGGCAGCTTGGCTACCAGCGGCGGGACCAGCCACACGAACGACGGCCGCTCGTCGCCGCCGGCGCTGGGGAGGGAAGGGGGAGACAGCTTCTTAGAGGAGCGACGGTTCAAACGGGACAGGACTGGGCAGACAAGAGCCGCGGGCGACATCACAAATTATGAGGCACTTCTTACCAAAAGAAGTTGTATCACTCACCTGCTATGTATTCGTTGCGACCCTTCCCCTCCTTGGAATGCGTCTATGGTTGCCTTGGCCAGCGTGTGCAGCCACTGACTGTGCCTCTCGGTGCTCAGCTTGGCCTGCTGGTAGAGCAGACGCAGGTCCAGCAGCGCCACGCGCATGGTCCACTGGTCGAGCGTCTCCAGTATGCGACTGCACACCTGTCGGTCGCCCGGCGAGTCGTCCACGTAGAAGGCGTGGTTGTCCGGGTGGACGATCATGTGGAACAGCCGGCGCGCCTGGTGGAATGGCGTGGAACATTAGCTGCTGCTGGTGGACATTATGTAAAACAAATGGAATATGAAATGTTTTTTTTTTTTTAAGTTGGGGGGTGTCGCGTCATAGCCAATTAGATGGTCAAGGCGTGGGGCGTAAATGTGTACACTTTTTGTGATAAGTAGGACATCGGTGTAACTGCAACTTCAAGTCAAATATATCACATTTTTAAAATATTCTGTTTTCATGGAAAAACATTGGTGGAAGAAGATCAGAGCGATGTTGGCTTCCGATCAGATCACCAGCCCAGCCGGGCACCCCGCCTCTCGGACCGACCTGCTCGGGTGACAGTACCCGGTCCATCAGGCCAATGTCGTCCCACTCGGCCGGGTGCGTCTTCTCCATGGACACGATCTCGTCCGGCGAGCTGAGCAGCTTCTCACGCACCCACGGCTGGCCGCAGATCTGCTTCAGCATGTGACGAGCGAACTCGGACAGGCCGGCCTTGTTCAGGCACGACGACGACCGGCTGCCGAGGGGCACGGGTCAGCTATGGTTACATACATAGGTCATATTATGTCTAATAAGGTCACCGGCAGAGGTCAACGACAGGCAACATGGAGGGAAAAGTAAGGTATTTAAATACTGAGTATTTCACTACGCATATACCTTTAACAAAAAGTTAAATCGAAAACCGATGCACTTGCGTCAATACTCTGACAGAAGTGCCATCACCCAGCCCAGTTCAAGTGCCAGCACCCCTGTCCCCCGGCCAACCACCGTCCGTACCCGATATCGTCTGGCTCGCCGTGGTGGTCCGAGGTGCCCAAGATGGCGCTGATGCTCAGTTCACCGCTGCCGCCCTTGCCCTCCGGGCGGCCGGAGCCGTCACCCACGGTGGGATCCACCAGGAAGATAATCGCCTAGAAAGCGCACAAAGCATTGTCAAATACTCATGGCACAGCCAACACAAGTTACTGTTGAGCCGAAAGTTTTACGGTGTTAGGTAAGCGAGCTGAAGGATTAGCGGTGTACAAATCAGTGATTGTTAATCGTCGTACATATTTTATCCCATTATTTTAACATGATTGCCATGAAGAAGTGCGCACAAACTTTGCTGAGAAAAGAGCAAAGAATACTTCCATTGTTAACCAAAATAATTTTTCCAGAATAGCGCATTATTCTTAACCCGCGCCGGGCCGGGGGGGGGGGGTGTTTGAACACACCCCTCCCCTGCGGTTTTTCGCAGATTTCTAAAAAACGGCGGCGCGCACACCTGTTCGTGAATCTTTTCCGCACATGTTGTGAAAATTTCAGACTCAGGTCGCCTTAGGTCAGGTCACCAGGTCACGCCAAGTGACTTCACCTTAGAAAAAAAAGAATGCCCGTCCTAGCTACACCGATTGATCGAATGCCTGGAAACTTTCAGCGTTTGATTAGAGCAACATTATCTATAAAATGTGTCTCGGAATTTTGATATCGGTGACCTAAGGTCAGGTCAATTTTGCGGCCTCCCCATTATAAGTCAATGGGAGAAAATTGAAAAGCGTCTGTTTTGCACGAACGCTATTCTAGACACCCTCAAACATCGAGATGTAGGTAAAATGGACACACTGAACCGGAAAATGGCAACTGTGACCCCTCGTTATGTCCCCGAGGTCATCTCAGGTCAAGAACATAATGTAACAGTTTTTCGCTCATAACTTCTGATAGAGGCGTGATAGAGCCCTGAAAACGCCTTAGATGTGTTTGGCTCGACGTTGCGGATCGACTGATATGCAACATGACCTTTTCCGGTCAGGTCATGACCTTGACCTGCGGTCAAATTTTCAAGATGACCTTTCAAGGTCAACTTATAGTTCATTCGACGCGTCTCGACGAGAGGAACACGATGCTGGCAAAAGTAATGTCATGGCTCTTTTGAGTCAATAGTGATTGCCGAAAAAAATGCTTTTCGTAAAAACGGCCATTTTTGGAGTTTTTGCCCTCTGGAGGCTAAACCGTTGAAAACCTGAGAACATTACTCAGAAAGGTCTGCAAAAGGGCTATCGAATGCGCTTTTCCTCGGCGCTGTAGCTCTATCAGTTCCCGAGATAGCCGTTGGCAGTTTCCAAAATGTTGAAACAGTCAACATTTTACCTTTGGTGACCTCTGGTGACCTGACCTTTGACCTGACCCAAAAAATGACCAGGTGTTTTCGTCTTTATTTTGGACGTTCTTTCGATTGCCGCTTACCGCGTGTCGCTACGTGGCCCAGGAGCCGAGTTAGAAGGGGGGGGGGTGTTCAGACACCCCCCCCGGCCCGGCACGGAATCTCAGAGCACCGGCCCGGCGCGGGTTAATGTGTGCTACGATAGCATTGAAGATATACAGTATCATTTAGCACAAAAAGCGCAAAGCTATGACTCTTTCTTGCGCCATATAAATGATTTCAAACATAATTTAATCATACTATGCGGAAACGAGTGGTACACCCCGACAAACAAACGGAACGTTACTCAAAAGACGATATGACATCTTATTCATCCAGCGGGGTTTGTCCACGGACCTTGAGACCGAAAAGCAGCGCCGGCACGAGCAGGTTGTCCTGGGTGGCCATCAGCAGGTGCCTGTCGCAGCTGTACTTGAGGCTGCACGGCTGTCCGTCCGAGGGCACCGTGCCGCCGGCGGTCGTGTCGTACCAGCTGGGCTGCGGCTGCTCCGAGGAGATCCACAGGTGGCCAAACAGCCGTAGCATCAGACGAGCGCCCGGCTCTCGCTTACCTGCCAGGAAACAGGGGTACACTGAGGAGACACCGGCGGTGCGCAGCTGGAGCAGTGAGAGAATATGATGCGAACACATCTGCCTCACAGCTTCAGTTGAAGAAACGGTGCATAAAGAATACTGCGTTCATCTACATCCCAAGGAATAATTATCCCATCACAAAAAGCTCCCTCCAGCAATAGTACCAAAGGCCTATCAAGGATTTTAAGATGCAGCAATGATACAAACTATTTCGGCTCAACGCTTCCAACAGTCCCGCCCCGGCCCGCCGGCGTCACTCACTGATGAGACACTCGGCGCCGAACCGAATGATGTCCTCCATGTAGATGCAGTGCCGGGCGGCCAGCACGGTCATAAAGAGCGCCAGACTGCGGTGAGTGGAGGCGGCAGTCATGTCCACGGCCGCCAGAACGTCCAGCCAGCTGTCAGAGCCGCGGCCGCTGGCCGCGTACAACATGTCTGCGAGAGGACGAGGAGGGCAGATGTCATGACTCATAATAAGAATGAAGTCTACCGTTGCATTAAATGCGAGCCAAATTGAAACGAAGGTCATCAAATGGAATAAAATTTCACGCAGTGAAAGGCAGCACAGCAGCAACTGTTTTAAAAGTTACCAAGCTATGAAAAATGTTAAAGAGATGCCACGTTAATATTTATCCCTCGGGCACTCACCGAGCCACTCTGGCGAGAGGGCGTTACAGCGCGCCGTCGCCTCGGCCGCCAGCACGGCCAGGTCGTTGAGCCGCTCGCTGTCGGCCGTGCTGCACGCCTCGATCACCACGTTGCACACGAAGCTGTAGCGGTTGGCGCCGCTCTCGTTGAGCGCTCGCACCGCCGACGGCTCGATGGGCCGCGTCGGCGCCGTCAGGTACTCGGCCATGAAGGCGGCGTTGCGGCTGAACGACGCGCCGCTCGCCTTCAGCGGCGTGTTGAACAGCTGCTTCAGCTTCTGGTAGGCGTTGCTGAAGCTCTCGAAGCGCGCCTCGTAGTGCTTGGACTTGAGGAAGCTGCAGTTGCTGTAGAGGTGCACCAGGTGCGCCAGGATGCAGCGCTCGGCGGAGGAGCAGTCGGTGTGGTTCCTCACGTGCTTCACCACCTTGCAGAGGCCTTCGAAGATGGAGGCCGTCTGGTCCTGCGATACTGCCAACGACACATAATGAACAAATAGTCAAAGGAAGGATAAGCACAGTAAGTATCCTTCAAAACAGGAAATAAACCAAATCCCAAAAACCATTGCCAACATACGTCACCAATCAGTTCCCTCCACTCTCCAGCATCAAAACAGACTTCCATTAGTTCAGTTCCATAGCGTACTCACATATGAGGGTGCTGTGGTAGCGCCGGCACGCGCCGACGATATAGAGCGCCATCGAGGTGGCGAACGTGCCGGCGCGCACCGAGTTCTTGCTGTGCAGCTGTCCCTCCACGTCGGGCAGTTCGCGCAGCATGTTGACGCAGCTGTCGAGCAGGTCCCGGATGTTCATCGCCAGCTCCATCAGGTCGAACAGGAAGCTGACGTGCTCCACCACCGGCAGGTAGTTGGAGCTGCCGGCGGCGAAGGCGGCCAGCATCTCCACCACCTGGGTGGCGCACTGGTGCGTCACCTGGTGCTGGTCGAAGAACGAGAGCGCCTGGAACCGCTGCACCACCGCCTCGAACGGAAACTCGCCGCGGCTCTGGCGCTTCACCTTGCCGCCCTCGGACACGTCGATCGAGAGCTTCTTCCCGAACAGCTTCATGATCTCCTTGCTGGTCTTTTTGACGGCGTGGCGCGCCTCATCACGCGCCCGCTTGACGCCGAACAACAGGATGTGACGCTGCTTGTCGTCGTCTGTGTACGCGTCGTCCTGCCGAGAAAGGGAACCGTTAACTGCGGTCTGCGATAGAAGAGAAAGATGGAAGTAGGAATGGTAACAATCTATGACGCACCAATGCCAATGACATCCGGGCAATTGGGGCATTCATTTAACCACTTACCACAGAACAGATAACACTACTTGACGAGAACAAGAAAATGACCGTTTCATGATTGAGCAAAAGTAAAAAAGACGTATTTCCGGACCATTTCCCATCTCCCTGCTCGTCAGTGCCAACGTCCTACCTGCGGCAGCGGGAAGTGAGTGGTGTAAATCAGGTGTCGGTTCCGCCTCCGCCCCTCCAGCTTCTCCGAGTGACCGCCGCCCAGCGAGAACGCCTCTCGCGGACTGTCCGGGTTGTCCATGTCGGCGTTGGTCGACTTGATGTGCTGCACCAGCTTGTCCAAGTCGTCGTCAATGTCCAGCTTGTCGTCGTCGTAGTGCTCGGGACGCGCGAAGGCGGCCGCCGACTGGGCCGGACTGGCCGGGTTGGTGCGCAGCTCGCCGCGCGAGATAAGCGTTCGTAGGTACTGGTCGTGCGAGAACACGTCGTGTCGGGTCAGCTCCAGAAAGAGCAGCACCAGACTGGCGAACGCCGGCCGGCTGCGGCCGCCCAGACCCACCGAGTCCAGCACCGGCGCCGACGTGTCCAGGAAGCGGAACAACAGGCTCTGGTAGATGTAAGCCGGGTACGAGCCCGAGCACACCGACTCGCGGTCGTCGCCGTCGCCCTCGGACGCCGTCAGCTCGGCCTGGCGTTTCTCCAGCAGCATGGCCACCGCCGGCGCTCGGTGCTCGCCCAGCCGCTGCGCCGACACGGCCCACTCGCACAACAGCTGAACGATCGCGTCGTCCGACGGCGCGCCCTCGGACGCGTCCCGGCTCGCCGGCGGAAAGATGCGCGCGTACAGCGTGTCGAAACTGTTGGCGTCGTCGGCGCGGTGCCACTTGTGCTGGTCGAGCGCGTCCAGGGCGGCCAGCACGCGGCCCACCGTCAGCTCGGTGGCCGTCTGTACGGACCAGCGCAGGTCCGAGGCGCGGCTCCGCTCCAGCACGTCGTCCTCGACCCGGCGCAGCCGCTGGCGCCACTCGGCGTTGGCGGCGCTCGGCGGCAGCGGCAGGCCCGACGGCAGGCACGGCAGCAGGTCCAGCGGCGAGCCGCCCAGCGGAGAGCTGCTCGGCGGTGCGCCCTTGCCGTCGCCCAGACAGTTCCACACCAGCGCCGTCGGGTTCTTGTAGAGGATCGTCTGCAGCACCGAGCTCAGACCGTACACGATGCTCTCGTAGAAGTTGCAGTTGACCAGTCGGATGAAGGCGGCCACCAGCGGGTTGCTGTGCACGGGCTGCGCCGGCGGCGGCGGCGGAGCGCCGCCCTCCGCGCCAAACACCGGACTCTGCGGCCGCCCTTCGGACGCCTCCATCTCGGCGATCATGTAGTTGAGCTTCTTGCACGAGTAGTAGGCCAGCTTGCGCGCCAGCAGCTCGGAGCGCGTGAACTCGCTGACGTACTGCAGCAGCAGCGGCACCACCAGCTTCAGCAGGCCGTCGTCGTGGGCGCGCGCCCGGAACACGTCCAGCACCCACTCGAGGAACGTCTCTCGGTCGAGCAGGCCCTGCTCGTACATGACGCCGGCCAGCTGCGTGCCGTACTGCCACTGGCGCAGCGCCACCTTCTGCTCCTCGGACGAGCCGCCGCCCAGCGGCGAGAAGCCCGACACGGGCGGCGTCCACGAGTAGTGCTCCTCCAGGCGCGCCAGCTGCTCCTTCAGGAACCGCTCCAACGTGTGCGTCCACTCCTGGGTCTGGTCGGGCAGCTGCCGCTTCGACTTGTTCTTCGTCTCGGCCACGGCCATGTAGTAGGCCGACGACATCTTGATGAGCCAGCAGGCGCGCACCGTCGGCACCGAGTAGTCGCACAGCTTGCTCAGAATCTCGTCCTTTTTGTTGAAGATGGGTACCTTCTTGGCCAGCACTGTCAACGGTTTGTTGCCCACCAGGTCCTTCAGCCATATCTCGGCCGCTTTGGGCCTGGTGGGTACCGGCCAGTAGTTGTCTCGGTGGGAGATCGGCTGTTTCTTTTTACCAGTCTCCGGGAGTGTGTTGATCTCGATCTTCTTCAAAAGCACCGCCGAGAAGTTCTCCAGCATCTGGGGAAACAGAAACATTAATAATTAGGTAGTGGTTACACCAGCTTAATTATATTGATAACAAATAGATCAATTTAGTAAGTTATTATTGCCTGAAGTGGAGTTAACATTCCACTGCCCTTTCACCAGAGTAACTGTGCCACGGACGTCACAGGGTGTGATCTTTAAATGCAGTAAGCTACTGAGGTGGTTAATATAACTTAATACACCTAGGGGAATCGTACCTCAGTTGAGAGGGTGAGAAGCTGGGCAAAATGAGTCATACATTGCCCATCCTGTCTTTTTGCCATTTAGAGAGACATTTCTGCTAACTTGTGTTTTGCACTTCTAGGCGGTAAAACCTGTTGTAACAGTATGTATGTATGTATTTACATCGTGCAATCGGTCCATGAACACATGGCTATTATGATTGACATGTCATAAAAACGGAACATCGGGATTCAGTTGCACAACTAACACACACATTCACGCACACACACTCAGCTCACATCACATTTGTACATCGCGCTACTCGTTTTGTTGTTTTGCCAGAAGATGTTTGCAGAGTTTTAGCCTGAACTCTCGCGTTCCCATGTTGTGGAAACTCGGAAACTTGGAAACTGCTATGGATATATGTAAAATTTTGACCTAAAAAGTTGATCAAATAGTGAGTTTACAGGTAGCCAGTCTAGGCTGTAAGCCAGACCGATACTACCAAAAAGAAACCTCCTATTTCAGTTTTTTATTTGGAGTTCCCTGACATGGAACTTAGAGAAAAGTATCTCAACATATGACAACACAAGAAAGGTTATAATGTCAAGCTTATATCATGCTGGTACCAAAATGAGACAGGTATCATGGAAGCAGGCACAAAGAGGGCAGTATGACAGACTTATAATGACCAGTTCCCCATAGGTAAAATGATGTTTGAAGAGGGATAAAACTATGAATGAATATCAGCATATAATTAGGTACCAGATCAGGGTCATTTGAGCCACATATTCTTAGCCATACCTCACACCTGCCAGGCCCATGTCAGTTCAAGTTTTCTAGCACAATAAGCCATAATCAAAATGGTGAATGCGAGAGGCCAGCATGTGCCCAGGAATCTGGACTGCTCTCCTCTGGCATGTGGGTATCATCAGTCCAATGTTTGAGCTTTGGGCATAGGCAGACAGAAACACTTCTTAGCTGGGAGAGACTGCTGGAGAACACACCAGTGCTTGACGGACCTGCTCCACTCTCCAGGATGCTTTGGTATCCTTAGGAGTCATGGTGCACAAATTAATAATAAATAAGCTATTCAACATCAGATGAGCCATTTCTCACTCATCACTGGTCTAGTGAGAATGATGATTAACCTTCGCCCCAGTGGGGGGGGGGGGGGGCATATGTTACCACCCTGTCGCGTTTTTTGCGTGTGAATAAAAAACCGCGGCGCGTAGCGCCGCGCCGCTTGGGGTAGCTTTTGGTACATCAATTTTGGACAATGTGTGAAATTTTTGACCCCAGGTTATGTCAGGTCAGGTCACCAGGTCAAGTTAACTGACCAAGCCTAAAAAAGTTTGCAATCATGTCCAGCCTGCAGTGTTTGTCAGAAAGGTTTGAAACTTGGTGTATTGCATGCTGTTATGGGCGCCTACAATTTGTATATCTCGGATTTTTTATATCCGTGACCTAAGGTCAGGTCAGTGGCGTGACCTTTCCATTACAAGTCAATGGAGAAAAATGAAAAAGCCTCTAGATCCGTGTGTACGCATCGGAAGTCCAAATATTTCAGAATCACAATGATTTAGTCCACTCGTGATGACCAAGGTGTCATTTTTACTGATAGCCTCTAGACAGGTCATCCAAGGTCACTTGAGGCTACAGTTTTTTGCCAATAACTCGCGATTGGAAAGAGATAGAACGCTGGGGATGGTCTCATTGTGTTTGTCTTGTTGAGACGCATCGACTGATATGCAACATGACCTTTTCCGGTAAGGTCATGACCTTGACCTGAGGTCAAATTTTCAAGTTGACCTTTCAAGGTCAAATTATAGTTCATTCGACGCGTCTCGGCGAGGGGAATACGATTCTGGCAATAGAAATGTCGTGGCTTTTTGTAGTCGAAAGTTATTGTCGAAAAACACTTTTCGTAAAACCAGCTATTTTTGGAGTCTTTGCCCTCTGGAGGCTAAACCGTTGACCTGAGGTCAATATTGATAATGACCTTTACAAAAGAAGGGTTCAAAAGCTATCGATTGCTTTTCTCTGCGTTATTCTAGCTACCATAGTTCCTGAGATAGTGGCATGTTTTCTGAAAAATATAATGACAATTGACAAATTTTGACCTTTGATGACCTCTGGTGACCCCAATATTGCTCTAAGGTGAAAAATGACTGAAATACTTTCAAGCGTACGCATTGAGAGCTATCGACTGCTTTTTACCGCGTCTTTCTAGCCCTCTTAGTTTTTTAGTTAGAGGTGGGTGGTAACATATGCCCCCCCTCACTAGGGCGAAGTTGGCTGAGACCGCCACTGGGGCGCGGGTTAATGATCAGAGGTTTAGGATAAGTAACAAAAACAGAAGAGCACAGACAAATCAACATGAACATTGTTTGTTTTTACAAACATGCCTACTGATACTGCTTTGATATTGATATGGCATGAATATTTTACCTTACTGGAGTTGATGTTGAAACTTCTTGCAGAGCCATACTCATCAGAGGTGCAGGGTGATGCATTGAAGCCTTGTTTCACACTGACTGAGGTCAGTTCATCCTGAAAAGAACAAATATGTAAGGCATTGATGCATGTCAATATCATATGATAAAAATAACAATCACACTCTATCAAACTGCAACTTAAAATAATATCTAAATCCAGCAAAGCACAAGTGAACAGCCAATTGGAAGCTGGAACAGAATGAATGATGAGAAAGAGAAGCATGACAATTTAAAACATGGTGCCTAAGTAAACTGAAAGCAGTGTTAGCCAAAACAGTAAATAAGTAAGCCAGTAAACATTTAATTCCATACATACCTCTTTCTGGTTTGGCACTTGAGGATATACATCTGGAGGGCCAAGTTTTGATTTCCGAAGAGGCTTATCTTCACAATTAACAATGTATGCCATTTTCTATGAGCAATATGGCATCAAATGGGTATTTAAATATCTGTCTTTGATTCAGCACTCAACAGTCTCAGTCTTCATTGAACACATCACATCAAGAACATTGCACAAAGGACATGACGTAAAAGCAATTGTTCAATGCCATGATCTGGTAATCCAATCCACGTGTCACACCTCAACCTAGGTAGGTAGGTCCAAGAAGATAAATATCATGTGACGTTACAAGAGATGGCTGACGTCATGGTGTGAACACTTTTGGGAGTTGAAAAAAAAACAATTAATGAAGTAGTATTAGACATTGAAATTATATTTTATCATTTCAGTGTTCCAGAATCTCAAGAAATATCCCAACACAATATATTTATTTAAAGTTTCCCAGAAAAGGTGAACTATCAACATAATGGCATCACAAAAACTTAACACATTACAGATATGCGATAGTGACTGACAACGGCTCGCCTTGGTCTTTTTCACACCCTGCACTTTATGCATAATTATTAACAACTTTGAAAAATTGTTTTTTTATGATTCGATTTCAACCTGTTTCAGTTTCAGTCAAAACTGCAGGGGGTTTGACGCTTTCAGATGCCAGCAGCGGACAAAAATATCTCATCTGATGCTGATAGCAATAGGTTATTATTCAACCAATGACCGGCTACTTCAACTTCAGCTGCTGCGGTAGCAAATCAAAATTGCATGGACATTTCCGGGTCCTAGACCTAGAGTCACTGCAACTTCCAGAAAAAGCCGCGATAAACGGACGCCGGTGAAAACGGACACGCCTAAGAGCTGGACTTTTTGATGACGTCTTCGGGTGACGTCATGTCGTGTGTGACGTTTCGTGAGCAGGTAAGGAAAAGTCACCACCGCTGGCGAACATTGGTGCGGTAACTGGCAAACACAAATGCTGCGCAGAAAAGACAAATGTGTAACTTCACAACATTCGTTCGGATGACAATGTCAAGGCGAATAAAGAAGTTCTTCATGCGATTGTTAGTTATCTGTCGTGCTATTTTAGTATGATTGTTATTAGCAGTTGTTTTGTGAAATGTATTATCAAAATCAATGTTTATTGAACGCAGATTCAGTTTATTTTCAGATGTACCTAGGTACCCTTACACTTCACTCATCTCAAGCTGTTCAAACACCCTTGACAAAGTCGATTAAGATGAAACGTTGGGTATAATTTATACTGTGTTTTCGCTGCATTATTAACATATTCATCATATATACAATATAAGGGCCACATACTTTTTACAGGGAGACATGTCAGACAGCCCAGTAGGATGAGGCTTCGTCAAGCGTCATTTTTAGCAACGCTTTTCTTGCTTAAAATCCAGTCTGCAAAACATGGCAGGGCTTCAGCCTACACTTTGGCTTACACTTGACTCCCAGCTGTTGTGTCTTTGCTATGCGATGTTAAACATATAAAACATCTTACTATTCATGTATGCGCCATGACTCATGTAATCTTTTCACAGCCAAGACGCTCCTAAGGTACTGGGAATGTGGGGAGTGCAGCAGCATCAGTGCAGCACCGATGGTCGGATGCGACGGCTGTGATAAATGGTACCACTTCCGTTGTGCGGGACTGACTAAGAAGCCAGGTAAGCGCAAATGTTTTCTGTCTCAGTATTTTTGTTGCAGCTATAGTGATCAATGAAATATTTTCCGCACTGTTCAGCCAAACATGTATTTCAAACAATCTGCTTCCCAACCGAGGGCGTCACCACGGGGGGGGGGACGGAGGGGATCTCGTCCCCTCCACTTTTTTAAATTTTAACATTACGCATATGGCGTTGCATGGAAAGAATCGACTTGAAATGATCCTCGTCCCCTCCAAAATGGTCAATGTCCCCTCCAGTCGTCGCACCGTGGCGTCGCCCCTGTTCCCAACTACACAAATTTAGTCAAACAATGTGCCAATATGGAATTTTCAGGTTCAGTTGAATGAAATAGGAACAATGATAATTGTAGATTACGTATACGTGCAAGAGAGGAAAACAGAATTCATTGTATTGCTTGTCCTTCACCGATAATGTTATTTTTCCATTTCTAGAAACACCGACATGGCGATGCAGGTGGTACTGCCTGGTGAGGCCGCGGTCTCCGGAATCGCCTGCAGACGAAGTCACCTGGCGTCCATCTGCACATCACTTGCAGCAGTGAGGCCTGCTGACAGCGTCTGGCAGTGTCGGCAACGTGCCGGACAGCTATCTGGAGTCCTGCTCACCGCAGGTCGCCGACAGGAGGGGCGACGCATCGTCTCCGAGGTCGCCTCAGCAGCAGTGAGACCCCACTGGCCGTCTTCTTAGGCTTCAACTAGATTGCGAACAACCTATGCTGAGACAACGCCCATGACGTGTGATCCGGTACCGCTACCGCACTGCGTGCCTGTGCCCGCCGTGAGCCGCTAGTGCATAGGTTCGACCATGAGAATATGTGTTTATGTTGCTTTTTATACTATTGTTTATACGTTGAAGTGACGAATTGTTTATTTTTCGCAAGCCTCCGCTGTCCGGTTGCCTGCAGCTCCATGCAACGCCAGCTGTACTGTTGTTTTAATGTTGTCTCTCCGCTCAGCTGTACTGTTGCCTCTCCGCTCATAACAACCTATGCTGAGACAACGCCCATGACGTGTGATCCGGTACCGCTACCGCACTGCGTGCCTGTGCCCGCCGTGAGCCGCTAGTGCATGGGTTCGACCATGAGAATATGTGTTTATGTTGCTTTTTATACTATTGTTTATACGTTGAAGTGACGAATTGTTTATTTTTCGCAAGCCTCCGCTGTCCGGTTGCCTGCAGCTCCATGCAACGCCAGCTGTACTGTTGTTTTAATGTTGTCTCTCCGCTCAGCTGTACTGTTGCCTCTCCGCTCATATATGACACCCTCTATATGAATGGCACTACTGATTGTCACACCCACTGTCCGTATTGTCCGTAGTGGTGTCTACGCCCATGTTAATACAGCGTGCAGAATCCATATTCTATTGAGGAGAGTTGAGCCAAGTGACCATAGGCTCGGGAAGAGAGCAACGTGGAGGCCCACTGCCCCTTCCCGGCCCCCACTGGGGGCGCCAGCCACTTCAACTTTTGACTGGATGTCAAGAGCGTCGCCACGAGGGGAACGAGTCGCCGGCCAGCCAAGGTAGCCAACGGCGTGTGAAGGTTGCCTGACCTCGAGGAAACTGAGATGGCACCAACGGAGGTTTTGTTAAGTAGGCGACCAAAATTCGAGCGGCAGCAACCTGGGCACCTTCACAGATAGCAGTGCCGCGTATCAGGGCGCCTTCGACGTTGAGCTGGGCGTCGATCATCAGGACGCCGGGGGAATATGACCCAATATCCCCCGTAAATATGTGCCTCGGAAGGGAGACCCAACCATAAAACTGAAAGCTCGCCGTATTTTATCCACTATTTTTCGAGCAGGTCCATAGATTTCCGTCCTCAAAAGTGCGGGGATATTCCCCAGTGTTTGAGTTGGATGGGACTATAGTGGCGTTTACACCGACAGGAGATTCCCATTGCCGGCTGTGGGAAACTACTGTCGGTGTAAACGCCATTCATATTCCTGCGTCACCCCTGTGGGGACGCCCTTACTCTATGGTGCCGAGCTTATCAATTTGGATATCAATGGAATCAAAATCTCTTATCGATCGATGAAGAACTAAATTACCCCGACCCGGAGAGCGTCTTTGGAATCAAAGCAGTAGCACATGACGCATGACTTCAGGCAAATAAATCCTTCTTGTCTGAAATAAAACATTTGTGTATTGATAAGCACGTTTTATAAGCAATGGTAGCAAGATTCTCCATGTATTTGGTTAAAGTGATAATTTAGTAGCAGAAACTTACCGTCGCATTTCGTTTTTTGGATTAATAATTTATATTGCCAGAACTAGCAACATGTCTCTTCACTCAACAATAATTACAAAAGTGAAAAAGAAATGATAAATTGCTTATATTTTGGTGAAACTAAAAATAAATTCAGCACATATTTTTTTTACAGCGTTGAAGTCCAGCTCCAAAGGACAGCTGACGATCGTAGCCGAGCAGGCTGTTTGGTACTTCTTCACTACTTCTTAAAAGTACCCGTTAGTACCGATCATGTCTCACATAATAAGCTATTGGAACAAAAATATCCATGTTCTTCTAATTATTCTCCTTTCACACTTTAAATAAATACTTTAGAAATGCATTTACTAATTAATTTCACAAAAACGGCTTGAAATTTTACAACGTCAAAATACTTATTCCAATTTCCACCACGAAACCACCACTATATTACTTGCTTACAGACCCGTGCGCACAGTGCGCGCAGTTTTATCGTGACGTCAGAGGGTGCTTCCTCAGTGGCGCCCCCTGGCGGGGAACGCGTGCAAAAAGTCCAGCTCTTAGGCATGTCCGTGAAAACAGGGCGCCGAAGGGCATATTAGTCACGTGACATTTGGAACTTCCCCCGCTCCATGGGCCTTCTATATCCCAAACGTCACGTGTAAATTTAACGAACCTTGATCAAATCGCCCCAGGCGCCCTGTTTTCACCGTCGTCCCGATAAACCCGAATAATATCAAATTATTGTGAAAATACATTCACGGCAACGAGGATCGAAATTGAAATAAACACACACACACGCCCCATCAAGCGCCCCATCAGCCCAAGGCCGTATAAGTTCATCAGCCCCATCAGCCCCATATCATATGGAAGCACCTTATATTTTTCAAGCTACCATATTCGGAAGGGAGAATCCTTCACGCTACAGGCATTTCTTTATTGCACAATGCACGGCATTACTTACACGACTTTCATAATAGGTTCGCGCGACATAGTCAAACCTCAAAGCATAGAAAGTTAGGAATAGGTAGGCAAACAGAATAAAAAGAGATAAAATGTGATAAGTCGCACATTATGATTCGTTTTCACACTCACATTCGGCATCGCTACTTGTGCTAAGCTTTCGAGTTTCGTCGACTCCAAATTCATGGCATAGCTCAAAATTATCCATGGGTAGTTTTTTTTTAAGGCCTGGCATAATCGATGATGTATGAGGAGCGAAAGGTGCAGGTTTCTCATACACTCGTCGTGGTCCGTGGCACAAAGAGTGAGTCCTTCGCTGAGGTCGCACGTGAAAAAATGCGAAATGTGAATGTGATATAACGGAACTACATACAAAGGATATATC